AAAAGGTCGGGAAAATACTGTTTTACTACTGTCCAGGCGTGGTTCTGCATAGGACACCCTGCATGAAGGTTTCCACACTCGCCATCCGACCGGGGAAGCCAGCGGCACAGGGAGGGAGCAGCCAGGTAAGGCTATGGCTTCAGGGGAGGCAAACAGACAGCTTGGAGCCAGTTGCTGTCTTACTTTGGTTGTAAAATTACTTCAGAAAAACCCAACATAGCAACACCACGGCTTGTCAGCGTGGTACTGATTTTTTTTAAAAAAAAAATCGTTCTGGAATAGTCTAGTCTTGTGTTTCGGAGCTGGTTTAAGCCCCAAAAGAGCACGGATACTCCGTTCCAGAAAGCAGCTGCTCCACAGCGGAGTGAGGGGAGGTCAGTAGCCTCGCACCCGCTGTCCCGGATCCCTCGGAAGGTTCCTCACTCACCGTAGTCCATCAGGGACTCGCAGCTCCAGTTGAGGTCCTCCTCGCCCCGCGTGCAGCTCTCCCACAGCGACGCTTGCTGCACGTAGGGCTCCGACTCGGACTCCAGCCAGCCCCGGCCCGCCAGGGCGATGATGCCCATGATGATGGCCAGGCCCAGCAGCAGGGGCAGGAGCCACCTGCACCTCCAGCAGGCGAGGCCGCACACCACCATCGTGCCCGGCCGGCGGCGCGCCCAGCGAGCCCGGGCGTCGCGGGTGCGGTGCGGGGAACCTCCGCCGGGACAGGAGACTGCGACTGTGCCGGTCCGAGCGGGGTTTTAAGGCGCCGGGGAGGAGGCAGTCCCACCCACATTCCTCTGACTAAGCCTGCCGCCGCCGGCGGCCCCGGCCGGTGAGGCGGCGGAGGGAGCGGGGCCGGCCCGCCCCGCCGCGCTCGGCCCCGGCCCCGCCAGCCCCGCTCGGGCCGCCCGGGCTCACCCTCGCACTTCTCCTTCGCTCCCGCCTCCCTCCCGCACCCGCTCCCGCTCCGCCGTCGTGGCACAGACCCGCAAAAACGCAACAGCAGCCAAAGAACTGGCGGTTCTCGGGGCTCCAGGAGCTCTGCCTTCCTCATGGGGGCTGGAGATCATCCTCCTCCTCTCTGATCACTGGATTAGACCGAACAGTATTGCCCAACATATTATCAGTGTTGATCCTTTCCCATTCTGGGAAAGGTGTCTGGAAATGCACCCCAAGACACCAGATGACTAAAATGAATGCTTGCCCATCACATAGCATGAATGGACACCCAAAGTTTTGGTCATGGGAGAAACACTTCTCAACAATAAGGTATCTATATATCCCGTTGTGTCACTCCATTGCCCAGCATCAAATCAAATTCATTGTCTGAGCAGGCACGTGCCCATGACAGGACTAGAGGAGCTTGCGTTTTGGGCACACAACTCACACACATTTGAGTCCTGGAGCAGCTTCTGAGGCGTCACCAAAGAAGACACTAGGAAAACAAATCTCTGAGATCTGAAAGACTGAAAATAATACTGGGTGAGAGGGATTACATGTGTTTCATGGAGAATGGGAGCATATGAGTTCTTACTGAACTGCATCAAATGGGATTTTGCCACAGCTATGTCACGTATAATCAAACTGTGCCCAATGCCAGTTCCTCAAAAGATATTCATGGGAGGTATCCTGTAAGGAGTGACGGTCAACCTCATCTGAGTACTCTTAAGGAATGGATTGATTCCATTCTGCAATAAGATGATATCACTATAGGCAAGTTGCAAAAATCTCAGGCAGGGTACTTAAAATCATGTGGAGTTTCACCAGTTCTCTCAACATCCTTTTGATGTTCATTCCCATTGTTCAGACATCATTTCAAATTCATAATAAAGTAGAGCCATAAACAAAATTTGCCAGAACTATGTCACCAGCACACAGGTTTTGCATGCCGAAGAAGTAATGGCAGAACTGGGCACTATCATCCTCTCATTTTGCCACACAACAGAACTTCTTTTGTGCAATGCCAAGCAGTGATTTTCCAGCAGTCTCATTATCAGCACTCAAGTCACCTCAGAAGGAGGTGCAGAAAGTATTTTCTTCAGAAATTCTGCAGAAAGTATTTTCTTCAGAAACTGAGTGTGGTTGGAAGAGAAGTGAGAGTAAATTTCATCCATTGATGAAATGCACCCCTCAGGAAAGTGCTCTCTTCATTATAAGGTCAAAAGTAAGAGAGTTTCCCCAGTTCAGACAGGAGTATAGCACTGGCTCCAATTTTTAATAATTGCATTACTTAGTTTCCCAAGGCTATTCTACACCAGGAGTGCCTCAATGTCCAGATGCTACATTGGTGTGATGAGAAGCTCTGAGGACAGCCTCCAAACCCACTTCTGGCATTAGTGGCTTGTGTTGCCTGTGGCCTATCCTCCTACTCCCAGTGACACCATGAAGAAAGAAATGCCATCTTCTCTTTGCTTCTTAAATCCTTGGCTTTTTAGCAACTAGGAAATCCAGCTGAAGTTAAAAGATAATACACCAAAGATTACATTCTGTATGAGTGAGGACCTATTACAAGTCCATGATGTTGTCTGTCTTCAGTCCCAATGATACTTGGATTTATTAACAAAGTGATCTAGCAAACTAACAATAATAATAATAAACCCATGCCTCCTGGAGCAAAACAGTCAGCTCCAGCAACATATGCAGCTTTTCTTTCCTCTGGGCTGTATAACCCACATCTTCCAGAAACCAGATGGTAGGAGTCAGCTCTGTAGGGCTGCAATGATACAGGCACAAAAAACAAGTAGTGCTTTGATTATGAGGAAAAGATGCCCTTATATGTATAAGGGCAAAACAAACAGGAGGCCTGCTCTCCTAAACACCAAACCCTCCTGAATGTAGCTGGGCATTCTGGATCAAGCTGCACTGACAAATGTACATTATCTTCAGCAGGGAGCACAGCTACATGTTCTACATGAAAATAAGAACACTTTCCCCAGTTTTATCTTTGGCCATGTTAAAAAGCATCATAAGCTTCTTTCACCACCACTGCCCTTACCTTTATTTATTATGCAAATAATAAATTAATTTCATAATCTTTGTGGCCCTATAGAAATATTTTTCTCTGCAATGTAACAAGGGATATGCCTCTCTAGCAGGTGGTGCTTTACATGGAGTAAATCATTTACTGGTTCTGGCAATCATTCACCTGGCTATCAGAGAAAACCAAGTAGCACTGAGAGAAGGTCAGGGATCAGCTCCAGCCCAGACAGGTATGGCTGGGCTGTCATGGGCTTTGAAATACACCAGCGGGAATCTGCAGGCTGGTTGCCAAGAGTGCATCTGGGGTGAGGGGAGAGGAGTGGGACACAGTGGGTAGCACAATGCCAAGGGCATCCCTCTGCCCTGTGGAGTCCCCTCAGGGACAGGGTACTTTCCTTTATCCATTTTACGTGCCTGGTCTTTTCTAGCCTGTTTACTTCTCAGATAAAAAAAAATTCAGAAAAAAGAAGTCTGCAGACTGAGTATCAGTTATAAATCCAATTCCTATGTAATTCCTGGGTGTTGTCCTTCAGCAGCGTCCTATGCTCACTTTCCTCCATGTCCAGGTGCCCCAATTCTGCTTAATCTCTCTTCAGGCATCACAGCCACCTAATTAACATCACCTAAACAGGGTAGTCACTCAACCCATAAAACAGGATAGGCATGGGATGTAATTTGTACAACACACAACAACCACTCCATCAGTGTTTTCAGATCTAATTTCAATTTCCTCATTCGTGCTCAAAAGCTGCCATTATGTGAATTTACAAGAAAACAATTTTTCTGGCCAGCTCTTGTTAGTAGCCCTAACTGAGTTTATATTACAGACTCCTCTATGGCTGGCATAGATGAAATAAGCTGGCTCTCTGCAATTGATGTGCTGTGGAGCCTACTTCAAAAGCCTTGTGGAAATACAAAATGTGGGGCAACAGTTCGGCCTGCAGAGGTGTGACTAACGCTTTCTCATTCCTTCAAGGGGCAACTCGTGACTCCATCAGCCTGAGATGACCTAAAATCTTAGAAATAAAAGGATATTAAAGAGCCCTACTTCTGTGCGTGCCGTGCCTATGGTTGTCATACAGTAATGAAGGTGCACGTGCGCTTGCTAACTTCAGTTTTCTACATTAAGGTTGTGCAAAGGTCTCTCTATTGTCCTGAAGTGGGTGAAATTCCATTTCAGTAAAGGAAATGACAGAATCCCAGGTGGCAGGGATTTTACCCCAAAACTCTCTAAAGGCTTCAGGTTCACTTAGATCATACCCACAGAATAATGACGGTCTTCAGACAACTAAGTTCTATGGACTTGTTGCTGCAAATTTTCCTCCTTTGTCTCATCCTCTCATTTGCATTCCAAAATGTAAGAAAAGAAATCATCAAATAAAGAACTGTGTCATCCTTGATCTCATTATTGATTTTTATTTTGTTCATAAGCCCTTTTCCAAGGTTGCAAACTGGCCATCTTCATGTGTGATGTTACAACATCCTAGTAATTGCCTGGCTAACACTGGAACTATTCCTGTAGGAATGGGAGATTGGTGCAGTGTGTGAATGTTTTTTCCTAAAGTTGCTATTTACTTAAACCATCCCTCCAAGAAAACCCAAGGTACAGTATGTACTTGTGTTGAGGGGACAGAGGGTTTTAGTGGCTTTTATCTTTGTTTTCTTTTAAGATAAACTTTGGTTTATTCAAGAACGAGAAAGATTTATTAATTCTTGCAGAGCAGTATGCTTGTGTTTCTTCTGACTTTTACATTCACATCTGATAATTCAAGAGAAGATGTGTCTTGGAAAATATCACATTTGTGCAATATCAGATGCAAAACTGGAAATCTTTCTTCGCTTAAACTCCCCTTCATACCTGAGATTTCTCCTGCTCTGACACAGTTTTGTTTAAACCACGCCGCGGCTGCCTGGGGGCACCGGGGCGGGCCGGGGCCGGCGGCGCCTCTGCCGCCAGGGGGCAGGAAACACCTGGGAGAGCTGGGATCGGGAATGGGATCTGGGGCAGAAACACCTGGGAGAGCTGGGATCGGGAATGGGATCTGGGGCAGAAACACCTGGGAGAGCTGGGATCGGGAATGGGATCTGGGGCACAGACACCTGGGGAGAGCTGCATCGGGAATGGGATCCAGTGGACAGGACGGACTCCCGCCAAAATCTCCTGCCTGCAGAGGGGCTTATCATGTCCTGGGACACTTGGCCCAGCACCCTGGAGCCTCCTGAGCAGCCTCATTGAGCGTGGCCCTTTCGGCCATCCTTATTTCTGCTCCTCTAGCAACAAGAAAGGTGGTCTAGAAGGCCAGTGGCATCCTGGCCTGCATCAGGAATAGTGTGGCCAGTAGGATCAGGGCAGGGATTGAGCCCTTGTACTCAGCACTGGTGAGGGCACACTTCAAATCCTGTTTTGGGTTCTGGGCCCCTCATTACAAGAAGGACACTGAGGTGCTGGAGTGAGTCCAGAGAAGGGCAGTGAGGTTGGTGAAGGGTCTGGAGCACAAGTGCTATGAGGAGCAGCTGAGGGAGCTGTGATTATTTAGCCTGGAGAAATGGAGAGTCAGGGGTGACCTTATTGCTCTTTACAAGCCCCTGAAAGAAGAGTGTAGTCAAGTGGGGGTCAGCTTCTTCTCCCAGGTATCCTCTTGACAGGACAAGAGGAGAAGCCCTCAAGTCACATCAGGGGAGGTTTAGATTGGCTATTAGGAAAAAATTCTTCATGGAAAGGGTTGTCAATCATTAGAACACAATGCCCAGGAAAGTGGTTGAGTCACCAACCCTAGAGGTATTCAAAAGGTATTGTAGGTATGGCACTTGGGGAAATGGTGTATTGGTGGGCTTGGCAGTGCTGGGTTAATGGCTGGACTTATTGTTCATACATGTCTTTTCCAACCTAAATGATTCTATGACTCTCTGGCATTTAGGTGCTTATCCCCCCTGAAACTGCAGGCCAAGGACCTAAAGCAGAGTTGCTCTCACTCAGATGTTTTAGACTGAGGCTGAAGTGGAGAAAAGTGTCTGATTGTCTCACCACTGATGATGAAGGGTCGCCCAGGCCATGGAGTTAGCTTCCACCCAGATACCTGCACTGGTGTGTGCAAGGCAGAGCCTAGCACCTGTATACCTTCCACTGGGACCGTGGCACTGTTTTCCATCCATGGGTTTGAGTTCATTTAGGGAGATGGAATCCCCTATACTGCTGTCCATTCTTAGCACTGAGATTTTACATTTATATACACATACACACACACATACGTGTGTGTGTGTGTGTGTGTGTGTGTGTGTGTGTATGTATTTAACTCCCTATTTCTGGGAGTTTTTCATTCCAAAATCTCATGGAAAAACTGGTGTGATAGATAAACAAGTTTTCTTTCCACCAACATTTGCATTTGCTTGCATCAAGCTGTATTTCCTGTCTCCATTCCTTCTTCTTCTCTGTAAACGCCACATGTATCTCAGAGCTGCCCACACAGCATTGTAGAATCACCATTTTTGTGCTTTCCAGCCTCAGCACAGTTAGCTCTTGTGAAACAGCATCTTGGTTCCCAGGAGTGACATCAGGAGCTTTTGGGATAAACATAATCACCACCTGCACATCCAGAAGAAGACAGAGTACGTTTGATCGAACAGCTCCACATTAAAGTCTCTGTATAGCTTTTATAAATGACTCATCCAATAGCTCAGTTCACTGAGGCCTGATTTCGGTGACACAGTCTGGTCTTTAAGCACATACTCAGATGAGGGATCACAACTCTAAATCAGCTGCACATGTGGACATGATGCTGATTAGCACAGCATGCATGAACGTCAATACTTTGAGTCATTATTTTCAGGGGCAAATCAGAGGTGCTGCTTCTGACGCAATTTCTCCCAAGCCTTGTTCCACCAGGAGCTGCTTCTGTGCTTCTCCCTGGCAATGACCCACTTTGTTCTATTATTTAGAAAAGCATAACCATATAATTCTGAGTTATAATTCTGAGTTTTCTCTCCCATTGTGCTGGACAGAGAGTAGAAATTTCCATCTATTTGTCCTGCTGCAGACAACTCACCTTCTTCACAACAGGTTGATCACACTTGTGGGGTTTAGCTTTCCCTTGCAGAAACCATGCTGTATCTCTAATTTTAAAAGCATGTCTTTCTTGAGCTCCTTGCTGTGACAGACAGAGTTGAGTGCAGGAAGATGAAACATGATTGTGCAGAACATGGTGTTGTACATGCCTAAAAATATGGGAGAAGAAGTAATTTTAAAACTCCACACAGAGTTAACACATACATGACCAAGAGTCTCGAGAGCAGTAAGAAAGGGCTGGGAGTTGGAAGAGAGAGGACAGGGAAATACTGCTTGGGGGGAGAAGTTTCTGTTTTGGGGATGGTTGCAAGGAAGTGTGACAGCATCTACCTGTTTCCCTCAAGTGTTGGTGGGCTTATTTTGTAAGCTCAAAAGCTCAAAGCAAATGTGTAGTAGCAAATACTGAGGTAAAAGAATTGGACCCATGTAGAAAAGAGTGGAGATGAGGGATTTAGTTTAAATGCTGTCATTGATAAAAAGTAAGCACTGAAGCTGTGTGCTTACATAGAAAGAGAGGAATGGTAGGCAGGGGAAAAATACCCTCGTCTTTTCGCTCCTCTCTCTCTCGTTTACACATCACACAGTAGATAGCAATTATAATGAAATATAGTCTGTGGTATAGCATGATCTGTTGGAAAAGTGAGACCACAAGAGACTTTAATTGATCACTGAAAAACAGATGGGGTTATAAAACCTGGGACAATAAGGAATATTTGTGGAACAAATGAAAGATCAATTCCCCTTCTGTTGCAGAAGCAAGAAAACAGGCAAGTGTTAAAGAACAATCTAAATGGCAAAATGATGAGGGAAAGAACATATGGCAAAGATGGAAACTGCTAAATACACACAGAGGGAAATATATGTTATTAAACTTGCTTTATAGCATGCCTCTTTCTAGTTTTTGCATGCTTCTTTTGCTACCATTTGTGAAGAAATAAATACTTGGATCTCAGTAGTACAAACCATGAAGAAGCTAGGTACAGAATATAGGTTCAGTAAAAGTTTAAAGCACAATAGGCAGAGGAAAAAGAAAAGGAGTCTTTATCACAGGTGGTCTGAACAAAAATGCTACCAGTGATCTTTTTCCCACACATATTGTTGTAAAGAAGATTATGCCACGTATAGAGAGTGAATGCAATTAGAAATGGGAAAGGAATCAGCTCTGTGCAGCCACAGACACTATACTTTATAGTGCAGTATCTAAGCAGCAACACCAAGTGTATCCCTTACTCCGTTCTCCTGGGAATAGAAGCGCATTAGGCATGGGAAGCACTGATAAACTACTCAAATACTGAAATCCCTTTCAACTACTCAGAGTCTGTTTGTACAGTCTGATGAAGGCCAGGAGGAGGCCAGCATGGGAAATGAATGACCAGTGCAGAAATTCAGCCTAAGAGGGCAGCTCCAAGGACAGCCAGAGCTTGCTGGCAACCTGTGGGACATGCAGGGCTGGATATGGTTGGCATTTCAGCAGCCCCAAATGGTATTCAGTTTCTGGGTGAGACAGATGTGAGGATGAGAGGTACCCAGATCAGTGCTTGCTGCCATCCCCAGCTTGGCACATTCAGAGCACCCTGGATGTGTGCAGTCGTCCACATCCAGCAGTGATCACTCTAGGGACCCTCTGTGAGAAGTTCATTCCAGACTCAGCACTGAACAGCCTTACTCCCACTGTGAGCAGGAAGGCTGCCTTTAAACATGTGCTGGAACTGCAGATTTCAGGGAGAACACCAGGATTTCTTGTTCCCTCACTCTATGCCCAGTTCTTTGCTACAGAGGTCCCACAGAGTTCACTAGGACTGTCCTATATTTAAAAGAAAGACCTGCCAGCTAGAAGTAACACCTTTTATTTTTATGTTTCTATGTTTGCTCTAAACAAGTATTTATTTTTATTTATGCTGCATTTTTTTTTCATATTAGTATGGAAAAGAAAAAAATGAAATGAAAAGAAGATGGCCCTAAATATCTGTGCCTACAGCTCCATTTGAATATATCACAGTGAATATTAGACTACATCACAGTGAGTAGTATCATTTATGGCAATATGAGACCAACAGCATGGAGAGAACAGCAACACTGATGCTTATCACCTGGGCTACATTGCAGAAGAGTGTGAGCTGTACTCTCAGCAGGGCTTTTTCTGGGTTATGACTCATGCAGAGCCCTGTTTTTCTGCTGCTGTCCCAAAAAAGAGAGCTACAGTGAATAAATAAATAAGTAACCAGCTATTGTTATCAACCAGAATTCAATAAAGAAATTTAATACACTGGTGCACATCCTGCATGCAGGCACACCAGTATCCTGAATCCAACATCACACTTCTGCCTTGCCCCCTCCCACTCTGAAGCTTTGGTTGAAGCTCCATTATTCCAGGCTTTCTCATTTGCAGTCATTTACCTATAAGAGTAGGCCAGCAAAGAAAAGATGTTTTTAAGGACTCTACAGCCAAGGAAGAGTAGGTGGAGAGGTTGGAAGGAAGAGATGAAAAAGCCAGAGGAGGTAAGCAGTAGGGTAATCAGATGCAAGTCTGGGCAGTGGGTGAGAGCTTGCTGACAGCAGCTTTGTCACCCTGTTACAGACCTTTCCAATGATGTAGGTAGGGCTTGTGACTGTAAGGGCTTCAGTTTTCTCTTTTTTAAGGATAGGTATGTTCCTGTGCCAGATGGAAGTTGCAAATGTGAACCAGCATTTATCCAAGTTCAGTGGAGAGCCCTCTTCTTCATACCCACCATAGCAAAGCTGATACTGAGATAATCAGAAGCTGAACTTGGGGAACCAGCAATCTTTTACCATCCGGTGACCTTTGACAAAGTGAATTAACATAGGAGGCATCTGCATATCTAGATGGGAGGGGATATGTGCTCCATGAGCCTGCTTTGTCTACACTGCATTTCATCTTTTTGCTGGCTTAATGAAGGGGCAAAATCTTGACATAATTGTAAACTCTTAACTACCTGGAAGTAGAGACTGTCTTTACAAGGTTCACCAAAATAAAGGACATCAGCATCTGTTTCAGATAGCTGTGCACAACCAGACTTGAAACCGTAATAATAATACAAGTGCTCAAGTATGACACATTTGGAACCCTTTAAAAAGCTGCAATAAATTCATTCTTTTGGCTGAACTGGCATAAGCACCTTAAAACATGGCAACATGTTTCCAGGTTCTTGAGTGTTAGGCTTTGGGGCTCATCTTTTTGAAATATTTAGCAGTTTTCTCCCATCCAGTCATTTTGTGGGTTTTTTTATGTTTTGTTTATTTTTTTTTGGTTTGGGTTTTGGTGGGTTTTTATGTTTTTGGTTTTGTTTTTGGTTTTGTTTTTTTTTTCTTTTTCTGGGGAGGATTCTGCAAGGTGAAGCTCTTCCCTCAGGCTGGTTTTATTTCGTGGCCATCTGAAACATTTGGGATCAGATTACATACTGGCAAGTAGGACAATGGCATTGCTGTAATGAGCTGGAGGCTAATTTATAGGCTTTGCAGATGTGAATACATTACCATGCAAATCATGTCTACTCCTGCCTATAAATAAAATAACTTACCTTGCCAAAGATGGCTGTCCCAAAAATATAATGAGTATTACAAATTATAAGCAGGTGTCAGATTTCCATTTCCTTTGTATTCTTGCTCGTGCTTCTCTAAGGAAGCATTTAAAGATAAAATGTGCAATACAGCGTATGGCACAGGCAGTTACAATCTTTGCTGCCCAGTACTATTATCACCTTTCGCCAACTGCCACTCCTTCATTTGTTAGAAAAACAGCTAGTCAGACTTGTCAACAGCTTTGAATAATATGCTCCTATATGGCAGTCCTCTGGAAAGGAAGGATGAACTGTGGTGAATGCACTGAGCAGTGGTGAATGCACTAAACTGTGGCTCAGAAGTTTTCTGTTCACAGCTCTGCCTCAGACATAGCTCTTCCTCAAACCTGGTGTGTGGCCTTTGGCAAATATTTTAAGTAGTCCATTTCATTATTTCTTTAGCTAAGAAATAAGCAACATTAAAGTTTGTTTTACCTGTATTTCCCATTCAAATATTGTTTTGGGGTAAAGCCTGTCTTTGCTGTCTACCTGTGCAAGTTTGTTTGAGATGGCGCACACTGGGCACACCTGGCAGCAGAAATAACAGCAGAAATAACTTCTGAAGTTACAGCTTCAGAAGATATTTAGAAATATCATCAAATCTAATGGGTACAAAATCTAAGGGTTTTTTGTGGTTTGTTTTTGTTGTTGTTGTTGTTGTTTGGTTTTCGGGGTTTTTTTTGAAACTTGAAGAGAACCTAATGAGACTGCACTTAATCATGTGACTTGCTTAATCAAGTCGTGAACACAGGCAGGACTGATGTCTCTATGATTTTGCCTGCTTCCTGCCACTCCCTACTCCCCCAAAACACCTTTTAATGACAGAAGAGCAGAAACAGCAAAACTGAAGAAATCCTACAAGTTTCACTGGAAAACATTGCCTTGTGGAGGAGAGAATCATGAAGTATTGCCTTCCTCCCCTAAAGGAAAAATTCAACAGTGAACTTAGAGAGAACCTCAGAACTGTTAAATTTCGCTCCTAGTAGAACTACTAGTTTCTTCTTTGAATCATATTTTTGAGGTTGATTCCAGTAGAAGAAAAATCATTCTCAAAGTGGAATAGGCCTGCTGGAAACAAGGTTCATTGACACCTTTGCTAATTTTATGGACATATTAGACCAAGCTAAGCCTTTGCCATCTGCTCTGTCACCAATTTTAAACAGAAAAATCTCACACCAACCAAACAACAAGAACAAATCACAAGATCATCAAGGAGATAAAAGTGATTTAACTGCCTGTATATACTCCACCAACAATGCAGCTTGCACTGAAGGTGTTCTTTCTCATGATTCTGACACAAATCACAAGGAAAACAGCTCACACACAACATGGTAAGTTTTCTGCTGAGCTGGAATTTTCTTGAACCAGACCTGACTCCACTAGAGTGTTCAAATGTTTTTATATGAAATTATGTGAACTTTATATAAAGAGTGTCCTTAATAACTTTTTATATTGTTGGCATCACAGGCAGTAAGGTACAGTGGCATGTGCCCACAGCTTTGCAAATACTACTGTGGCTAACTGCAATTTACAGGAACAGCCTTTAAGAAGCAAGCAAGGAAGGAAAAGAATACAGGAATTGCTGCTGCCCTCCTCAGAGAGTCGAGTGTATGTACATACACTGAAGCATCCAACAATTGCATGGAATATATGAGGTATGTTAACTTGTGTATTGGGAAGTGTTATGGTAGCTACAGGATTTGCGTCCAGTTCTGAAGAGAAACCCTTTCCCTATAGTGCTGGTAGGAAGATGTGTCTTCATTCCATGGCCAGTAACAGTGAATTAGCTTAAAATATCTTGCATAAGGCTGAATGGAAACAAATGGAACTTGAGCATTTAATTTAAAAAAATTATATTTCACATACTTTGTACTTATAAATCATGGCTAAAACAACATGACTAAATCCTCTTATTCTGATACCTACATCACTGTTCATTAATGGGTCAATAATGCTCTGTTCTTCTGCACCATAAAGATCAGCTTACCCCTGGCCTGGGAAATAACTGGATTAATTTGTTCCCAAATGAAGAAATTATTCAAAGTAGACCCTTGGTATTTAAGAGGATCATGTTTTCAACTTCCACAAAGATCGGGAAAGACACAATGAATGAAATGAACACTTTTCTCATTACTAATTACATGTAACTACATAAAATCTATATTGTATCTGTAATACATATGTCATTTGTAAAGTTGGCTGGCATTATAGGTGGCACTGCCTCAAGGTTACCTGGCAACTGCCACAGTACAATCTCATTCTCACCCACTTTATCAAATACTAACTGGAGCTGAAATCTTCCATCTGGATGGGTGCAGGGGTGATTGCTTTGCATTTCAATCAGATCAGTTTCACCATTTTGAGACAAAAGAGAGCAGATAACATTTTGCCAATTTTAATACAATCTGATAACCTTTATTTGAGAAAATGACCCTGTTTGTTTTCATGAAGAATTAAAGCAAAATGTAATATTGGCTTATGTATCTGGGTTATGCTTTTTACTGGATGTCAAAAACTTGTCCAAATGTGTACAAATTCAGCTTACACACATTCAGTAAGGTGACTGGTTTTTATCAGTTCTTACAGATCAAATGTGAGACAGCACATTGCAAAAGTAAAGAGCTATGGTAAAAAAGCTGCTCTCTTTTCACATCAACAAGACCCAAAGTCACATAGTTCTGCTCGTTGTAATTGTTTCAATAAAACATGAGGGAAAAGAGCTGCACGGGACCAATCATGTACTAATGAAATCAATGAGACTTACAGTACCACAGAAAGCAAGAATACTGGTAGGCATAATCCATTTGTGCTGTATCCCTAAAAATAGTCTTTGTTCTTTAAAGGACCATAATTATAATAATCTCCCAAAAATTTCAATATTTTATTTTTCTTTCTGCTTGCCCCATAGTACACTGAAGATAGCAAGCAGTCCAGTTTGACTACTGGAAACCAAATGAAACTGTGGTTATTAGATCTGTTTTCCCCCAAGGTTTTTCATTTATAGTCTGAGAACATTTGATCAGGAAGCTGCTGACATTTAAACACAGAACTTTATAATGCCATTCCTTGAAATCTCTTTTCAAAATACATGTTGAGAAACACTGTATTTCTGCTTGATTTTTCATTTAATGCAACAGAAGTTTTCAAAAATTATACATTTGGATAGTGGTGCTCTCCCTCAGGTCCACAAGGCTGGGTGCTTGTGACTATTGCTGTAATAAGAGCTTTTGTGTGGTTCAATATCACTTAGCATTGGATTTTCAGATCATGACTTAGAGGGAATTACTGTCTACTCCCAGAAAAGTGGAAGCTGAATGCTCTACTCTCTCTGATTATATCTCCAGAAAGTACATGCCAATAACAATCTGAGCATTGATTTCATGTTGATTAATACTAACAGTGAAATATAAAAGGACATCACTCAATATACAAGTTCATCAGTCAGTTTATAGCAAACTGGTCTCTTGAAGAACATTCCAAGAAAGCTTCCAAGTGTGTGACTATACCACAGGTCTACTTACAGGTCAACTTTACTGCTAATATACAATTTAAGTGTCATAGTCAGAAAACTATTCCTGTGCCCAGACACATGGCAGAGGGAGATGTAGAAGTAACTGATAGTCTTTTCCAACCTAATTGATTCTGTAATTCCGTGATACCTTTGAGATGAAAACTAGTGTCTGCAGGGACAAGAGCAAATGAGGTGTAAAATATCCTTATACCCTTTGGAAGAGCCTTTGGAGACTGGGACTTAATTCCTTGAAAGAAGTTCCCACTTATTATTGTATGAGGAAAAGGCATAATAAGTAGGAACTAAACTATGATCTGAAGTTAACTATCTCTCTTAATTCCGAACATTTTATGTTTTAAATCTTATAAGTTGGTCTTCAAAGCTGCAAAAATATGAATCATTTACTAACAGAGCCAAACTATATCTCAGAGAGTTTGGGAGCACCATGAAGAAGAAGATTTTTCCTTGTGTTTATATTATTATATGACTGCATAAAATGATGGCTCTGAATTGAATTTTGCCACTGTTGCATTTTAAACCTGAGAGCATTGCCCTGAAACCAGGGAATTTATTTCAGATTGATCTGTCTGTGACAGAACAGAATCTACATATTAACACTATTAAACATCTACTTAACTTGTCCCTTTGTGTTTCTCTTTACTTCGCACCATACTTTACAAACTTAGAGATTTGTCAGGGAGTGCTCCTACCTTAAAATTTGTAATAGTGGTGGGAAAATCTATTTATCTATTTCAAAAAGAGCATAGGAAGTTGAAAACTTGTATAATATCTAGCTTTTCTAGGAGTATTTCTAGTACTTCAACTCATGTATTTATATGCTTAATACTAAAAAGGTGGTGCAATTCACAATCCATTTCCTGGCCAGTAGAGATGTATTTAGTTAGACCTTGCTGACTTTTCTTGACTTTGTAACACAAGCCTCTGACAGCTGCAGATGTGACGATGTCCTTGTTTCCTCATAATGAGGAAAGGCCACAACAGATTTCAAAGCAGGTTACGAACACAAATATGTAGAATACATTTGTAACTTTCAGTGACCTACATTTCATACAGCTACATGACAAGTTACCAGCTCAGTGACTTTTCAGAGACAGCTTCAGAGAGTTTGGGTTTGTCCATTTTGCATATTCCAAAAATATGATGGCCAGATGATACAATCTTTTTGTATTCAGCTTTTGAACAGACTAGAATTTTAAGCTTTCTTTCCACAGATTAATACTAGAGGAATCCTCTGGATTAGGAGAGAAAAGTGGGACACAAGGAGTCCCCTGAAGTTTAGTTTTCTGGCTAACTTGAAACTCTTGTGGTATTAAGGTTTTATAGTACACATCTCCATGGCACCTTTTGCCATGTACTCCCTCTTCTCCACAAACTCTTGTATTTCAGGGTAGAGAAGAACTAGAATTAGTACAGAGAAGGACAGTCAGAATGACCAAAGATCATTTAGGGAGAAAAATTAAATAGAATAGTCCACTGTAGACTGGAATAAAAACAGCTGAGGGGGAATATGTTCAATGCATAAGCAATCACGAAAGACAGGGAGAAAATAGGGGATGCTTATGCAGTGCTTCTCAAAGCACAAAAGAAGTACAAAAGGTAGGTAGCTTCAAAAACCTAAGCAAAAAGAAGATAAAACTGGTCCAAAAATAACTTTCTTTTGTTTGCACACAACTTGGCTGTGGAACTCACTGCCAAAGGGTGGTAGTGCAGGTCACAAGCATAAAAAAGTTTCAAAAGGTACATTCCCAGGAGAAAAATCTGCCACTGTCTCAGGAAATGCCTAGTCTGCAATTTAACAGAAACTGGGAGAGTTTTGAAACTGGAAGGGCATTATACTTTTTCTGCCCTTTCTTTAAGAATGCCCAACTACCTTCTGCCACAAATACAACCACTAGGTAAAAATTACCTTGATGTGGCCCAGAATAGCTGTTCTGATGCCTTCTTCAACTGCCTTGGCAACTCTGCAGGGATGAAAAGATTATGGTAAATTGAAGATAGTCATGGTGAGTTCTGTTTTTTGTCTGTCTTTGCAAAAATTATATCTTCAATGAAGTCAGAAAGTCTTGTCTCATATTTCTATCCTGGCATGGATCTGAAGATTCTACATTTGTTTCATCTGTTCTTCACAGAATAAATGCTGTGAGGCTGTACTGAAAAGACAGTTCTGAATATATGCTGGCTTTTTTACAGCTGCTACTCCAGAGGGTTTTTCTCCCTAACTCTGTAATCCTGCATTGAGCAACACTGATGCTTAATGTGCTTTGCCATGCTCAGAAAGGTCATCATTTGAATGGTGCAGAAAGCAGCAGCACCCCAGGAAGGTCTTCATTGAGCTCTCAGCTATTGCCTCTGGTAACTCACTGTGTAATCAGGCAAACAGTGACAGATGCCACCCCACCATCAGGGGTGTGCTTACAGTCTAGGCAACCAAAACTGAAATCCTGACAAGGGTCTTGCTTGTCTGGGTCTTGATGCCCTCTGGCAGAGAGAAGAAAGGGTATCTCCATCTGCTATGAGGTGTCACAAAGGTGATGATGAGCCCATGGTCCAGCTACTCCCTTCACTTCAAAATTTTTAGCAATTTATCCTTCATAAGGGGAGCCAAAACAGAGTACAAGCTTCTGACTGCTGGTCAGTCCAGTTATAGAGGTGCTTCTGGGAAGAGTAATTTTGAAAAATCTGGCTAGGTAAAATTTTTGAACCATGGAATCAAGTGGTTTTCCTGTCATGAGAGGGAATTTCTTAGAATTTTGTAATTAAATTTGTAAGAAGGTCTCAAGAGCACAGCCCATTTCTTTGGTCCATGCTTTCCACCATCTGCAGTATACAATGAGATCAAGAATATTGTTAAAATGGCCAAAGCACAGGTAATACATGAGTGATAATGACTAATAGAAAATATATGTGATTATCTTGCAGTCTAACATTCCTGTCTCACACTTTTCCACTTTTTTTCCACTTTTCCACATACTTTAAAATTTTTTCTTATGTTCCCAAAGACCAGAATAACAGGGCAGGTGTGTGCATGGCCAGTATGGCTTATGCTATCAGAAAATGTTAAAAATAGGGCCACATTGCCTTCCTTGGCTACTAGAAGGTCTAGAGACATAGTAGCATGGAGACCTTTGAAGTCAAGCAAATGCTGCTTTCTAGCCTGGACAGAGAATTGTACTAATACAGGTCTGTTACTCCAGGTATCTTTGGTAGGTTGACTTTACTTACACACTCCTTGGCTTTGCTCAGAGCTGTGAATGTATCCTGGGATGTAATCATTATTCACATAATGCAAAAAATCAGTAGCACTGGCACTGCCAGGTGAAAGCTACAAAAGCACACTGCACATCTGCCACTGCTTCTTAGTGATATACGACCACTGCATTGTGCAAATTCCAGATCTGCATAGGAGCCTTCTGACTCCCAGTTGGGTCAGGCTGCAGCTGTGCAGGGGATCAAGAGCACTGACTCCTAGGTAGCCCCTACTGCTGTAGAAGGCTGCTTTGCATAGCCAGGACAAAGCAAGGAGGATTTATGAGCTGTAAGGGTGACCACAGAAGGCTTAATTTTCTCTTCATGGCAGAAGAGAGGAGCCTTCATCACCATCATCCTGACTCTTTAGCTGCACTTTCAGATATTGTGACATTTTAGGACACTTGCCTTGAAATGGCATCCAGAGCACATGATTAAATATAACCTCCTCCCTAAGCAAAGTTTACGTATGGAGTGACTTCCAGCAGGACATAGTAACTGTGTATTTATGTGAGTATACAGACAACACACCCAAGGACTGATGGACTCCTGTCCATCTGGAAATGGAGGGCCTCAAGTGAAAAGTATGAGCAGGCTGACTCATGGTGTTCTGACATACACGCTCAGGAAGAGTCACCATGGCTTACTTGTTTCTCCTTCTGCATAATCTTACTGGCAGGCCTTAAGGTGCTCTAAGGAGCCTGAACATGACCTTTGTTTCTCACAAGCTGATGACATTGCTACTGAGAGGAAGTGTTTAGCAACACAGAGTCCATTTTGCTTGAACACATTGGACAGCGAGTGAAACAGAAATGAATACAAATCTTGGTTCAGTGACATCGAGCATCTATGAAAAACAGCATAGCTCTGATGAAGATGCCAGCTGCAAAGGCCTTCCTGTAGAGACCACAGAGAAATTAACCAGTAAGTTCATGATGCATATAGCTAGAAATAATCTGAAATTAAAAATTAATTCAGTTTCATCAGAGGTTCCCTGAAAATATGCAATTAATTATTTACTACTTACAGATACATATTTATCTTTGAGTGTTTTAGAGGCCCAAATGAACTCTGGTATGTAATTTCTAGATTAAAAATATTTAAATCACCATCACAGGGGTTTTTTTTGTTGTTGTTGTTTTCCCCCCAGGAAAAACAAAAACAAAGCCTTGAAAAGTCAGAAATTGACACTCATGCTTCTTTCCACTAAGCACAATGCAGAATAAAGAGGAAGCACATAGGTGGGAAACAATTTATCATCACTTCAACATGAGCCTTGACTTATAGCATCGCAGTGCCCTGACAATTCCAGCCACTAGCTATCACTAGATTTTTTCATTCCAAGGAAGGTGGCAGAGCATGGTCAGAGAGAAGAAACTTTGGGAAACTACTTTCAGTTTCTTAAAGGTTGTTTAATGGCCTGAAATTGGAAGCTAAATGGCATTTCTGTTAAAGGTTGGGATTTTTTGTTGGTTGTTGTTTTTCGGCTGTTTGTTTGGTTGGTTGGTTTTTAAAATGTTTAGTATTGTAGCAATAGGCTTCACCTTTTCACCTCCAGCAATAATCTATGCACCTCTAGACCCTTCTGGCATTATTCTAAATCCTTTTCTTTTCTGACAGGGCTTTTACATTCTGGCTTTAAAAGGCAACTATGGATTATGCATTCATTATATGCCTGAACACAGGATGAGCCCTTGTAAGTATTTGGACAAGGGACAGCCTTTGAAAGCCCAGTATCCTATGGGAAATGCTATGGCTGATTCACCAGGTGCCAATATCCTGCCTGGTAATTCACTACTGGTACTCTTCCAATTAGCAGTCGGAGACATAACAGGGCTAATACTACCAGCTGCTACCTGGAATGCCTTTCTTATCTGCTGTCTTTTCATTGTCTGCTTGTTTTCTTGTCTCTTTTAAGAGAGATTCTGCACGAAGACAAGGACGTTGTAACACTCAGTTAAGCGATGCAGTCACAAAAAGGGCAACTAGCGTATAAATTAGAGATAAGGCAGGGAAACAGCAAACTGAAGAAGGCAGGAGGTTTGGTGGGTAGGAAGAGTTCCAGGTCTGAGCGAGTGGAGTGGCTGCTCTTTCTCCTGGAGGCTGGCGCGTTGGGGACATGAAGGTGCGCGTTCCTGTGAGGGCACAGACAGACAGCTAAAGCCGTGACCTTCAGGAGAAAGGCGCAGAGCTCACAGCCACTTACTTGACCCCACTTGTTCCAGGGTACGGGCAGCGCCGGCACTGACGCCGGTGCGCTGGCCTGGCTCGCTGCGTCCGGCCCGGTGCTGCGCTGCGGCAGCGCCGCCGGAGCGGAGCGCCGGCAGCAGGAACCCGCCCCGGGCTGCGCTCCGCGGCTCCCGGCCGGAGCTGCGGGCCCGAGGCGCACCCAGCGCCCGCCCCCCGCTGCCCGGGGCGGACAGGCCGCGGCTGCCGGCGCCCCCCGGCCGCCGGTCGCCATGGCGACCCGCCTGCCCGCCTCCCGCGGGGCCGCCGCTGCCGCCGCAGGCTCCGGCTCCGGCGGCGCGGGCCCCGCTCCGCGCCTCCTCCAACCCCAGCGCCGCCAGGGAGTCCCTGCGCTCCCGCGGGCAGGGCCGGGCCCGTCCCAGCCCCCTGCGCCAGCGGGGCCTGCCCGCGGTGGGAGAGGAGGAGGAGGGACTCCGCAGCGGCAACAACTGACGTGTCCCCGCCATGGAGCTCGGCGTGATTCATCGGCGGCAGCGGGGCGGCAGCGGGGCGCCGCGCTCCGCTCCCGCGTAGGCACTGCCGCGGCGGGGACAGCCCCGGCTCCGCTCCGCCGCCCGCGCCGCCCTCCTCCCTCCTGCTCTGCCTCGCCGCCTCTCCTCTTCCCCCGCGGCTAGGCGAATATCCCGGGGGAGGCAAGATGGAAGAAATCCTGCGAAAGCTGCAGAAGGAGGCGTCGGGGAGCAAGCACAGGGCCATCAAGGAGAGCTGCACCTGGGCCATCGGTAAGGGGCGCGGGGTCCGCCCGCGGGGGAGCGGAGCGGGGCAGGAGCCGCCGATGGAGCGGTTTTGTAACGCAGGGGGCAGGGAGACCTCAACAAACTTGTTCCGCGCTAAGGAGAGCCTCCTTAGCTGAGCCTCCAGCGGCTGGGAAGAGAGCGGAGCACCTGGGCCGTTCAGAATGCCCGGGAGCTCCGCGCTGCTGGAAGGGGCCGTGGCACCTGCTGCCGGTCCCGGAGAGCATCCGCGCCCTCGCCTTCCCCACCGCCTGGATCTGCTTCGTGGCTCTTGCGAGGCAGATATACGGGTATCAGTAGCTGTCAGTTTCCGTGTATGTTTTGGAGGTGCTGTCTTTTTCTTTAAAGGCCCCCTCCCTCCCTTAAATCATCGTAAAAAACATGCAGTACAGTTTTTCTGCTGGCTTATGTTCGGGAATCTATTTTAAAAGCTAGAAGTTTTGTTTTACTGGATTACATGAGCTCTTTTATCCTTGCAATATAATGATCAGTATAACAAGTCAATCTTTCAAGGGAATACAAGCTTAGGTACATTTTAAAATCTGCCCATTTTCCGAGATTGTTTGTGGCTTGCATTGTTTTTTGGCATTTACAACCTTGAACACTGATCATCAAGACCCATGATTTAAATCAGCATAACTGGGATACTTTCAATTGCTTTAAATTTTTGGGTTTTATCCATGCATAGCTACAACATTCTGTGGTAGATTAGACCTGTTGCTGTCTTATTACTGTCCTTTCATCTTGATGTTGCATGAGTTGCTTCATTAATTGCATGTTAGTCTTGCACAACAGCCATGCAGGTATCCTCTATACTGTTCCAGTTTTAGTGGAACTTCAGCTACTGAAGTGCTGATAAGTGAAAGGGAAAAGATGGTACTTGGTGCCTTCTCATTGGGCATGCAATGTCCTGACAGATTTAGGCAAAGCTTTGACAACTCAGAGCAGCAGTGGTTGTTGTTCTGTCAGGTGGAGTAGGTGTAAACTTTAGGATCATTGGCTCAGAGGCTGTAGCCAGATGTATTAACTGTGATTGAACTTAAAAGTTTCTTTCAAAAGCCCTGTTGTTTCTTTTAATTGTACAGAAACCTTGGATTCTCCTGATGCTGCTATCAAGATACCACCATATCAGCTGAGGTAAGAGCATTGAACTTGAGTTCTGTAGAGCTTGTGAATATTTGTAAAATTGAAGCAAAAATTTTGAGTTAAAAGTGAGGTAGAGGAACAGGTTGCATCTATATGATTTTTGTAGTTTGTAGATTTACATATCGAGGCTGGTAGTAGTAGATAATTTTCCGATATGCCCTTGGCCCTAAATGAAATGTAAGGAAATGTGATAAAATGGCATGTGTATGGATAGTGGTGATATTGGTTGTAAAGGAGGGCTCTCTTATGAGCTAAAGGGTTTCCCTGCTAAATTCCATCTTTAAGTATGAGCAATGATGCTTCTTAGTTCTCTTCGCCGTGTGCTTGTGTTCTTTTAAATCTAAATCAGGTTTTGTTTCTGAAAATAAATATTCCAGAAATGAAAAAGTTATATCATCATATAGCTAGGACACTGACTAGGAGCTAAAATAATACAGTTTCTATGCCTACTTCTTCCTTTAGCCTGCTAAATTATCTTGAGTGAGCCTTCTTCCTTCTTCCCACTTCCATTTGTACACATATAAAATGGGAGAGATGGCATGGCCCTGATTCGTCTAGCTGTTTAAAATCTCATTTTGGAAATTGTCATTGTTACGGAGTAGGTAAATAGGCAAAATTATTCACTGTCCTTTTTGACAGAACCATTAGGAGTAATCAAAGGAAACTAGCAAGTGCACTGTTTAAGACAAAAGCACGTTCTTTCTTACAGCTTAATAGTTAAGATGTGAAATGCTTAGGCTTGCCTTATTAGAGAACGTAATGGATGCTGAAAGATTGTGTGCATGTAAAAATCACCTCAACAAATCCATGGAAGAAACTGATTGAAATCTACTAGATGCACAGGTAATTTTCAAAAGTACTTTAATCAAAGGTGATCGAGTTTATAAATGAGTATGTAGGAATGCTGCTGTATGTTTGGCCTGTCCTGTGATCCTCTCATGTATCCACTGTGAGCTGCTGACAGGGAGGGACATTTTCTGTTACAATCTTACTCTCCTGGGAGAGTTTTTATCACCTCAAGGCTCCCTGATGGTTCTTTCATATATGCTTTGCAAGGAAAGTTAGGGATTTAAGAGCTAGTTATTCCAGAGTAGTCGCCAAACAGGGAAGGAATAGGAGCAGTTCTTTTACCACTCTGAATTCCTGTCAGCTGCAGTCCACAAGAGGCATCAAATCCAATGGGGGCTGGATGTAGCACAGGTCTGACATGACCAGTGCCAGACACAATATATTTCCAGCACAGGATGGAAACAGCTGGATGATTAATTCTCAATAGGTCCACTAGAATTATGCTTACTTGACACTGGCTGGAGAAAACTTGGCTCATCACCTTCCCATTTATCAGCCTCTAATATGGTGTGTGGTCTGTGCCTTTAAGTGCTATTGTCATTCCCTATGAATTAGTTAGCTAGCTGTTACCACATTTCTTCCTTTTTCCCTTGCCTACTACTTCTTTACAGAGAGGCCTTTTTCTCTTCTTTCTCCAGTGTTCTTAATGATGTATTTGTTTAGTTGGGGTATTTTTTCCACTGTAAATCCCAATTTTTAAAAATAAAGTTAATACCTTTGCAGGTGTAGCTATGATTAAATAATCTCTTAATGTTAGACTTGTCAGTAGCAATGGACTCATTATCACTGGATGTTTTGGAAAATGAAAGGTACACAAGAGGATTTGGACAAAAGCTTTTGTTGTGGGGTCCTTGGTAAGGCTTAGCCACAAAGCCTTACCACAGTGTGGGAGATGTTGCTAAACATACCCTTCACTCTCTGATAACAAACTACTGCCAGGCTCCAGATCAGCACACTGGGCCACATCTTGGGCTGGAGTTTGCCTGCACAACGTGCAAATTAGATAAAAGTTCTTTGCTTGGTATTTGTTAAAAAGCAGCACCATGATGGCTTGCTTCCTAAGGCTGGAAAAGAATAGCCTGGAAAGAGGCGCAATGGCTGTGACCAGAAACACAGCCAAGACACAGGATGGAGGTGTCCTGGCCATACCTCTTTTCTTTATGCTTTCATCTTACATCAGGTGCAGGTTGTATCAGCTGCTGTAACGCAGATCAGCCTCTGGCTGCTCATCCAGTTGGAATCTTAATTTGCACTTCACACTTAGGTTATTTTCTTTCTAGAACTGAAAAATGAAGGCTGCTCAGAAGAATGAGAGTATGTAAACTCTACTCGCTTTTTTCTTACTGATAAAATAAAAAGCCATTTTCTACTTCTGACACCCCAGTTCTAGATGAGTAGAGGTTCTTTGTAAAGTTGTCTTTTGTAAAATTGTGGTCCTAATGTGGTAATGGGGAGGAAAAGGTCTCTGCTTTTCCTCAGAAATGGCCATTTGAGTTCAAGAGGTTTTTGACATGTATTCTATCAGCCACATGCTTACTTCTGCATACTTACTACTTGGGGTAGACCGTGTTCTGTCTTGTTCCTGACCTATCCATAGTTTCATCTTGTCTTGGACTTGTGTTACTGAACACAAGGCAGGCCACATTACAGTTCCCTGATGTCTGTGCAATTAATTGAGGACATCAGCCATAGCATTTTCATGGGAGCTGTTTCCAAGCAGTTATCTGGTAGCAGTTTAGATAACATGCCTGCTATGTTTGGGAGCACCTTTTGCCCCAAGGGAGTCCTAGTGACTGACCATCCAGACTGGTATGGAATTCTTTAATTAGTTGGATAGAGACCCAACTTTAATTAGTTGAGTATATCTTCAGGGAGCTAGATGAGACTATTTTGCTGTTCAACTTCCTTTGATATCAATTTGACTTACGAATCAAAATCCCTGTTAATGATCTTGCATATTGATTCTTGTAAGGGGCATTATTTAAATGTCTCACTTCCTAAAGAAATACAAATCTCCAACAAATACAAAGTTTCCCACAGAATCTTGTCAGCTCTGCCTTGAGATAGGAATATGTGTGTGATTTTTCAGTACTTTTAACTTATGATCAGAGTATTGGGCAAGGGTGTGACATAGTAACAAAGATTAAGGTGGATCAAGATGGAAATGGCCTTAAGTCAGTTAAAGGCTTTGCTGTAGATGTTCCATGAATTCTTGAGAAGGGAGAGTCACATAACCCATTGGTAACTGGCCTCTTGTGATCTGTCTAGTATGATATTTGTCTCTGAACATGAGTTGTGAAAATTTGGTATATACTGAGTGCTTAAGGAGGCTGGGTAGCTGACTTTTAAATAATGAATTAGATAAGAGAAATTGATGTGCTTGTGTTTTAATTGGTGAATTGATCACATGGAAAATAGCTTAAGAGGCCTTAATGTTGTCTGCCAGCAAGCAGTTGTTTGCTACTCAGCTAGGCTATATTCACTTCAGCACTTTCAGGATGGCAAATTCTCCCCTAAGGCTGGCACTATACACTGAACAAGGTTCTCTTCTTGGCTTGTTGTGATTTTAGATGCTGAAATATGAGCTATAAAAGGTAACTGAACAGACACAAGAAAATGAGCTTTGAAAAAGAATGTTTGATTGGAGCAGTTTAATACTCATGAGGATTATCTACATATCAGAGGATAAAATAAGAGGCTAGACAGCAGTTGTCAGTCACATACTGCTTTGAAAGAACATGGGATTTCTTGGAATGCATTATGTCATTAAGTCATGCCTTACAGGCTATGTAAAACTAAGTGACTTGCTATCATCACAGACTTTGCTGGAAAGAAGAGATTGGTGGGGACTTCTGAAGGGACATTTCTTTTTGGAAGAAATGTGAATTGGGTTTGTATGGCCAGGTTTTGTAGCAGGAGGGGCTACAGGGGTGGCTTCTGTGAGAAGCTGCCAGAAGCTTCCTCCATGTCCAGCAGAGCCCATGCCAGCTGGCTTCAAGACAGAAGTGCCCCTAGCCAAATCTCAGCCAGTCAGAAATGGTGATAACAAATTTAAGAACAGGAAAAGAAGTTGTTTTGCAGATGTAATTGCTTCCAGAGAAGAGTGGGGTGAGAATATGTGAGAGGAACTACTCTGAAGACACCAAGGTCAGTGAAGAAGGACAAGGAGGAGGTGTTTCAGGTGCCTGAGCCCAGATTCCCCTGAGACCCATAGTACAGACCGTGGAGAAGCAGCTGTGCCCCTGCAGCTCATGGAGGTCCATGGGGGCACAGAGATCCACCTGCAGCCTGTGGAAAACACTCACACTGGAGCAAGTGGATGCCTGAAAAGAGGCTGTGAGCCTGTGAGAGGCCCATGCTGGAGCAGGTACCTGGCAGGTATCTGTGGATGGACTCATGAGCAGAGGAACAGGTTTCCTGGCAGGACTTACATCCTTGTGGAGGACCCACATTGAAGCAGGTTGTGACTCCTTCTCCTAAGCCATGGCAGGAACAACGTGTGATGAGCTGACCATAACCCACATACCCTGCCTCTCTGTATCTCTGGGTGGGAGGAGTAGGGGGGAAGGTGTTTAGGTCTTACTTTACTTCTCATTACCCTGCTCTGGTTTTGGTAATAACAAATTCAATTAGTATCTCTAATTTGGGTCAGTTTTGCCTGTGGCAATATCTGGAGAGTGATCTCTCTCTGCCCATACCTCAAACCACAAGCCCTTCTTTATATTTTCTCTTCCCCGTCGAGTTGGGGAGGGTAGTGACAGAGTGGCTTTGGTGGGAGCTTGGCATCCAATCAGGGTCAAACCACTAAAATCCCTCATATTTTTCATTGGCTTTTTCAAACTGATCAGTATTTCTGGAGATTACAGCTGGAAAGTCAAAAGTCAGTGAGGAGCAGGGTTCTGTGTAATAACCAGTTCGTATCAGGTTCTGTCTCTTCCTGCTTGTGTGCCAGTACTAATCATGTTGGTGCTAGCTTTTGAGGGCAGTTTGTGAACTTTTTCTATAGTCATGGACAAGCGGGGAGGAGGACATTTGGAGATGAAAGTGGTAGTTCTGCTCTGTTTTGTTTTTTTTTTTTTTTGTATCTCTAGATTAGCATCTGGCATACTTCTTGAGAAGTATGCAATTCATAATCTCTTCAA